TAGCAAAGGCAAAGTTTAGGAATCTATGATGGCTTACTGCCTAACTGCTTGTCATCGCTTATCGTAACAGGATCACATTTCAAAAATATGGATCAGAATTAAACCAGTTGTATTTTGAAAGAAGAAAATCGCAGCAACTTTCCGGAGAACGATAGCTGTTCCTACTCAATCTAAAATGTTTAGGTAATGCTGCACAGATGATCTAAAACAGACCTACGTTCTGAAAAACGTTTTTTCTGATAAATTTAAATTTACTTACTACCGTGCTCATCAGCATCTTATTCATGAATTTTGATCAACCTGTTTTTGCAGATAACTTTAGCTTCTTCCTTCAAACACCAAATTTTTCTAGATTGAAATGCAGATAAGAATATTATCTCGAAAATGTTTTGCAACTACAGCTCTTGACTAAAGATACGAAGGAAATCAGTTTAAGTACCTGTTTAGAGAAACATGCAGTAATCTTCAAAAGGTAAGCAACAGAATAAATATAAATTCAGCATCAAAGATTTGAAGTTCTTTGCTAAACCCAATATTATAAAATCACTCCATTCGTAAGCTCAATGTTTTTTTTTTTTGACATTAAAGACTTATTTCTCCTTGCTCATTATTTAAAAAAAATATTTTTCTTTGACTTTCAAAGAATAAGGAAAACAACTGTAACCAGAAAAGTGTATATTACTGAAGAATTTTCAAATGGTGACTTGTTGTTGGTTTTTTCTTCCAATAACTTTTCACAACTTCTGCTATCAGACAAATAAACACCGATCACTTCAACAAGACATAAATTGGTACATGACTGTCGGTTCAAATATTAGATAAAAAGATTTGTAAATACATAAATAAAATCAAAAAAACTGAAGCAATCATGATTAATATCTTGATGCCAAATATTAATATTTATTAATATCTTTGGTCAATTTTCAATTTAAAATGAGAAAAGAAGTGTATTAAGAAGAAAACCAAAAGCTGAAGTTAAAAATTGATTTTTTCTGCATTGGTAAAAATATTTGAAAAATACGACATAAGCATAGATTGTACCTATTAGTTTTCCAACACTTTTTATGAACTTTTTACAAAATGCTGACATGCGTTTTGCACGAGCAATTTTTGCTAAAGTGGAAGATAGAAATAAATGTTCTTGACATTGGAAAGAATATTAACAGCATTATTCTCAAAAAGCTGCCTCATCAGTCAAAAAATCTTAAAACTACCTAATTGCAAACTAGAAAAAACAATACAGCTTTAAAAAAAAATAGTTCCACAACCTTTGAAGCGAAATAAAAGGTAAGAAAATCAGTCAACTATATACCTTAAAATTTCACTAAAAAAATAGTTATACGTCCTCAAAATTCCAGTTTTGCTCCTAAAAAACATATTTTAAGAAATTAAAAAATTATAAGACAAAACAAAAAAGTTAAGCTCTCTTTCAGTGTAAATTTACTTTTACTCCCTGTCTACCAGAAAAAGTAATTCTTATCTCATTTAATCAGTAAAAGAAATCTACACCACTTTTTCCTCAACTTCAAGAAATGGAGAAACAACAGCTGATCAGAAAAACTTTCAAAAACAACATAAAAAGCAAAAAAAAAAAAAATGATTGGTAACGATCAGCAAAGGCTATCTGATCTTACAGCATATTGATGCCTGTTTTGTTAGCACAAAGCGTTGGCGCATCTTGAAATGGACTCATGCGCTTCTGGCAGATGTGAATCTTATCAAATACCGCATGCGGAACTTTGTTCTTGTGAACAAGCATCTGTTGTCAAGAAAGAAACAAACAATTTTTAGCAATTCCTTAAGGTTTTGACTTGAGGATCTCTAAATTTGGAAGGATGAAAGAAGAAGTGTGCAGAATTTAGTACTAGCTTTTTAAAAGTCCCTCACCTCCATCTAATTTTGTTACTAAACGCACTCAAAGTGTGCTACAAAACGATTAAGCCGAGAAACGACGTATACTGCAGCTGTTGATGAAACTGCTGTCAGGTACAGGTCACGAGCATAGAATCACTAAGCCCAGCAAAAGTTAAGTTTGCAATTCGCAACTTTCCCAAATATCACCTTCATTCTGTTGACAAAAAGCCTTTCTAATACCTTACTTGTCTGTCTGGTCTTGAAAGCTGCTTTCGCTGCATTTTTTCTGAATTGCACTGCTACTGCTTAAGCACTCTACACAGAAGAGAACCACTTAGGCCTCCTTTCCCACGGTAGATCTCAAATGTCGACATTTTTGCTGCAGTCCCGCAAATGACACAAATTTTAGCCCACATCCCGTTGCCAGTTGATAGCACACAAACAGCATAGAAAAAACATTAAAATATTATAGTGGCAAAGTTAATTAGAAGTATAGGATGCACTCTACAAAGCAGCAGTTTGTAATGTTTTTTTTCCTTAAAGAAAACAGTTTCAATAGATCTGTGCTCTTACTTGCTAAAACTGATACAAATGACGATGACGAGAGCAAAGGATAGATAACAAAAAGGAGCAATAGTCATAAAACAAGCATCATAAGTGGAATAAAATTTTATACTATATTTTATTTTTGGTTTGCTTCACTGCAACCATGATTCTATTATTCTACATGCCACTGTCACAAACTGTGTAAGCAGCGAAGACTAACTATCATCTCCCGAACGCGATTTATACTCACAGGTAACAGCAGTTTATTTTGTGTAACTTCCTAACCACACAGGATCATGCAGTTTAAAATTTAGAAGCATCTGAATCTTTAAACCATCAGTAAAGTCGAAGAAAAAAAGTTTAAAGAGAGGAGAGAAAAGAGACGTGCCGTGAAACTCAAAAAGCATTTCCAATGGTCACTTTGGAGGCTTGTGGGTTACCAAATCAGACATTACCTCAGGCCACTGTAGCCCAGATGCTGCCTCACGTAGCCGTTTTTTTTTTTATTATTTTTGACTCTCCATTTCACCTAAATACTTATCAATAACTATCCGTTTTGTTGTTGTTAAATAATTAATTTATAGGCAGCTTGTTAATACGGGTTTGTATCTGAACAGTTTAGGAATTTTTTAGACCTAGTGGTTCAGTCTTTATTGGGTTTATTAAAACTTTTGAGTTTTGCTTCGGGATTTACTGCAGTTAGCGTTTGTTGGTTGAACTGGAATTTGTTCATTTGAGGACGATTAGTCGACTACGAGTCGACCTGATTGTGGAAAATTGGATTTTTTAAATACTGTGATGTGTTTGATATAGGATGGCATACCGCCTGAGTATCAGATAACGTCCGTTTGATTTTCGTTCATCAGCATTTGTTGGCCTAATACATGGCTTAATAAACTAACTGGCGTTTGTAAGCGGTTGCCATGCATTGAGACTGGGTTTTTGCGTTGGGCGGAAGCATCACTAAATCATCAACAGCCCTAAAACTACTTTTTTCTAATTTAATTATTCTTCATTATTTCTTTCCACCGGTGAGAGCCAGGAGGGGGTTGGGGGGGGGAGGGGGGAGGCAAAGGCGGTGGAATAGAAAGTGGGGATCGGACCCTGAACAAATTTGACATCGGAATTAACTGGCGAGTTAGAATAAAGTCAGCTTATAATATTCTACCGAAATATTTGGGCATAACTTTCACTTTCATTTTACAAGCTTAGTCTTGAACTTGGCAATCTTTTGAAGAATTGTGGCTGAAAAATTAACTGAGGGGACGACAGCTGTATCACAGTTTGGCGTAATAGAAGTACGTCAATGTAACAAAACTGCTAACGGCTGCAAAGATAAAATAGTCGTGGCAAGATGTAGGTCTGCATTTTGGTTTATACATCATAAAAGGGGTAATTGTTGAATTATTAAAGGTTATAAGAACAGATGGGGTTGGACATTTTTATAAATATTTAACATATTTAGACTGGTTTTCCATGAATGGTTTCTCAGGCCCTAATTTGTTGCTTACTATTACTAGAGGATTTATTTACTCTCATATTGTTCTTGAACTTAATTTTATCTAGTTTTGCCCTGTATATTATTAAGAGAAGTTGTAACAACCTAGTTTTATTATAATAAACAATGGTAACAATCGTTGATATAACAATACAACGCTCGGTTTAGAGCTATATTTTAAAACTCACTCAGCTACAAAAGGTAGGATTTTTGATCGCAGTGTTTTCTAAAATTTCTCACTAATCGACTTGTCTAGCTAACGGTATCAATAAACCGTAATCGTCTGACTCCTGTCTCACGAATCCAGACGTTCGTCATTATGGAATTTCATGGCTGAAACAACTAAACTTGGTCAGTAATCAAAGCTACCTTTTTAAGATTGAAAGAAACAAATTTTTCTGCAAATGCTACAGGGAAAGTCCAAATTCTGTATTCTATATTGATACACGGATTTTTGACACCGCCAGATTACTTGTTACATCTTAATTGTGATACAAAGGTTGCTTAGAGTAAATTTAAAAAATTAGTATATTATTCGTTTACAAGTCGCTAAAATTGGCAACAGAAACTGAAGTCACAAAAATGACAGGTACAAAAATTAACAAATTTCAAATGTTTCCAGCAGACTATTTAGTTCCTTATTGTTAAAGTTTACTCCGGTTTTACAACAGTAAAATAGTTGTTTTTTTTTTTATTTTGCATATTTTCCACTTACTCAACTGAGTGATACTTTCCACAGCTAATAAAAGCGGCGTGATTCAACAAAGAGTCCATTTTCTTGCCGTAATCTTAATAAAAAAAGGTGTCACTAGCTGATATAAGAATATGAAGTTTGAATAGAATTACTCTTCATCTTTTTCTCACCCTTTTATTCAAACAAATTTGACGTATTCAAAAAAATTTGAAAAGAGAAAGATTAGAAAAAAACATAAAATACAATGATGTTTTAATTGACGTTGCCATTACAGGCCCTGTGTTGTAACAAATACTTGAAAGCAGCTGAAGCCACTTTTACGCAAAACTCCTTTCATAATGCCACAGCTTCGTGTAAAAGTTTTGTAGCTTGATTTTTCGCTTTAAGTACCTGTATCAACAGAAACCTTTATTCAGTGTAACCAAATAGCTAAAAGAGAAAAACTATAACTAAAAGTTTTCTATTTAAAAACTTTTACCTGTGGGTATTAATAATTACCACTCTATCAAGTAACATTGTCACTATCATTAATATTGTTAAGCTATCAGCAATAAACCTTAAAAAAACAATTTGTAATTACTCAACAAACAGATATACACTTTTTCGACAAACAATAAAATTTGTCGAAGCTTAGCGAACCTTTAAGAATAATTTATGACCAAGGCTTTCCAAGTAATAATCAAAATACTGTGCACCACAGCTGATAAGCAAATACATATATACACTAAAAATAAATACAAATTAAAAAACATTCAGTTTTCAATAATACATTATTTATAAAAATAATTTAGCAATAAACTGATCAAGAAGATATTTAATCGAATAAATTGATGAGGTAATTAAACAAATCATATCTAATTTGAAGATGGCAGTTAAACTTTGTTACAGTATTTTCCCATTATTCCCATTATTCCGATGTTAGATTATCACAATCGACTCCAAGTTTAGTTAGCGTTTTTCTTACCTAAAAATTTTCTGTGCTAATTGCAAAAAGTTAATAATAAGAAATTTTTTCTTTTTATTTTTGCAAAATAAAAATAAATATAGTAAAACAATAACCGTTTCGTGCACTTCTTTATCGTCTGCACTTAAAACAGGCATTTTGAATGCTTTCTTGTATAATTGAATCGCCTCTTCCTTCTTTCCCAGACGATCGTAAATCTCAGCCATATACCACAAATTTTTTGAGTAAAAATTTGGCTGAAAACCCATTTGATGTTTGTGAGATTGCTTTTAGCACTGCAGTCAGAAAGTATACTATCATATTTGATTCACTGAAAGTCCTAATACATCTTGGACGTGGATATATAGTGCTGAGTTAAAAAAAAGTAACCAAAATGATAGAGAAGAAGGAAAAATGAACCAACACTGATTGATTCAGCTTTTTCAAAGCATTTCATTGCCTCATCATATGTTGAACTAGGTGGTGTCCCAAATATTGTCTTTGCAACCATTCTTGTACATGTTCCCATATCAGCAAAAGTAAAATGCCAGGCTCCTATTATTTAACGTTTTATTCATGACTGCAACTTTGTTTGAAAATTTCTTCAAACGCTAACAAGCATCTGCCTTGAAAGCGCGATGAAATTATCTTTACCAACAATTCAGTTGTAACCCACCCAATATATGCCACGTTGTCGGATCGTTCTCATTAAGATCAAGCGCTTTTTCCAAGTGAAGTTTGATATCAGACGCTTTCTTAATACGTTCTTTCGTTCCCTCATATTCTCCAATATAGTTTAACAGAATTGCAAACCTACAACGTTTAGTACAACAACACCATCTACAAACGAATAGAAAATAGAATAAAGCAGTTTATAAGTACCATTTGTGTGCACCAAAACAACCCTTTTCGCCTTCGTTAGCAACAGCTTTTTGAATCATTTCGTATGCCTCATATATAAATTTCTTGCGTTGATCCTTATCCTTAAAATGCAAATTTCAACCGGTATGTGACCACAAGTTTAAATTTTTTGAAGGATATTTTGATTTGTTTTATTTTAGGTCTTTTCATTTTAGGTCTTAATCGAGTAAGACGAAATTTAATCCAAGTGGCACCAAAGAACTCATTACTTCCGTCATTTTCCCCTTTTCGCAAAGAACTCTGGCCAGTCTCCATAGAAGTTCAGGATCAGTTCCAGATCCATATCTGTAAAATAGAAGTATTTATGGCTGCTAGAAAAACCGTACATGTAGAGATGCCTAATAAAGCAGCTATTACCAAAATTCGCAAAAATACTAAAAAAAATTTTTTTGATGTGCTTTTTTTGTGCTAAAAATAAAATGAAAAAAGTCCAAAAAAAGACAATTGAAGCTAAAGAGAGGTTCAACAACGTTTTGAACATCTCAATATCTTACGAACTTTTCAAGAACTGCATATGCATCGTCAATTTTATAAGCGTCATAAAGAGCATCAGACTCTTTAATAATTTCCTCCATATTTTGAATTTTCGGTATGTTATCACTAAGGCTGTCGGACTGTTGCTTAACGAGCGTTAGCGCTAAATTTTATGCAAATTGAAATATAATTAAGCGTAAAACAAAAAAAAAAAAAAAACAACAGAGAAGTTTATTGTATAGTTGGTCACGACATGATAAAAATTAACAGCGAGGTAAAATGAATGCAGCGACGGTTCAAATAACACAGTTATAATCCAACAGTATGCACAACTTACATATCGTTCCGCCAAACAGGGCAAAAAGTTGTCTTCCTGTCGTATAAGTCAAAATTGGTCGAAAAAGGGATTTTTTTATGCCTTTAATTGGTATCTGTAGAATATGTATTGCTCAGTAATATTGAAAGAATATAAAGATTCTTTTATATTACAATTTTTAGTTTTGCTTCGTTCATTGATTCCTTTACAACTTTTTAGACGATCATAAGCAAACATTCAAAGTATCCACATCAACAGGGCTATCCTTTGGCAAAGATACGAAGACGAGAAAAAATGCAACAACAGCAACCTTTTGAACCGTAAAAGTTCGAGCGTTAAAGAAACGATAAAACAGCTTCCGCGCAACGTCCATCTTACACTCCAAAAAAAGAAACAGTGATTTTTCGGTGATAAACAGCTGCCCTACAAGTGTTATCAAATGTGTGCGTAGACAATAGTCAATAGCAAAACGGAAGTTAATCAGCAAAAATTTGATACTTATGGATACAAAAGAGAGGAATTGAAAAGAACAATTACTCTTCAATTAAAGAAGCAGCACTGCTGTCCAGAAAATAAGCATTAAAAAAGCTTAGCAAAATTTTTGATTTTTTAAAGTAGACTTTTTGCTTGCTTGCGATATATGACAAAAAAAACAGGAATATTACGAAAACTGCATAGAACAAAGTGACAAAAACATTGTACACTAGTGAAAAAAGTTTTACACGAAAAACACAAGAATTACTTTGTCAAAATAACAACAATCACCTATAATTCAAAAATAATTATCCACTCTACTGGAGTCCTTTTTTTTTTTAGTTTAATAAAATCTTTGATCAGTTTAAAACAATGTACATACCAACTTTTTAGAAAATATACAAATAAATAAGCAACAATTTAGCTGACAATGAAACACCATTATATGTACTGAAAGCACTGCGCTGTAGACTTTGATCATAAAACGAAATAAAGAAAATCAAAAAACAAAGTTTAAAGTTGAGTACAAAATGTAAAATGCAAAACGCAAAAACAAATGAAGAAAACATCACCAGAATGTCATGGTAATATACTTCTAACAAAGTGCGAATAAATCAAACTTTTTTTTCAACTTTTTCAGACAAAGTAATTAGTGTTAACAAACTGGAGAGTTCTTAAAATCACTACAAATGAATATCTAAAAGCATGATTATTATATTTATCAAAGTAAGTAAAAGTAAAAGACTCAAAGTTTGTTACTCTAATTAAATCGAAACTGATAATTACACTGCCATAACTCAGTCCTATTTTAAGGTGACTACAACATTCAATGTACAAACTTTAAAATAAATATATCTTAATACACTACATTCTATATAGTATGCTCTATGTATATACAGACTATATTTATACAGTGTTTATATATATATATATATATATATATATATATATATAAACACAAAATCCTTACAACTTTTTGGTTTATCAAACAGCTTTTGTTTATATATATATATATATATATATATATATATATATATATTATATATATATATATATATATATATATATATATATATATAGGTGCTGTGCTTAAGAGTGCGTATTTTTGTTTGTGGTCGTCCCCTAAACACCCATAATAAATTCTTTTTAACACATTTGAATGCATTTAAAGTAACAGTAAAAACTTTTTAAAAAGACAAGACTCCTGTGCTAAAATTGCTTTTCTTCTTGTCACAAATAAATTATTGTTTTAAAACAATTCAGTCGCTAGTTCCAACAGAAAAAGTTAAATAAGAAAGAATACACTTTGCGATCAATAGCATTTTAGGTCATCTCATAGTATTTTCTGTTGGCCTGCACTAATGATACTGGAAAACTGAATGAAAACAACTGAGATGACGAATTGTGAGCAGCACGGTGATAAACTTTAGATAAAACCTTATTTGATCTTCTAATCCCTACTAACGCCTAATAGCTGTCCTACAGTAAAATCGGTTACAATCGATGCTATCGTCTCAATTGGTCTTTTTGGATCACGAATCTGAGGAATTGCATTGACGATGAACTTCTCAATTGGACCGGCCTTTGAGCCAAGGCCACGGAATGAACGGTTTTCACGGCCACGTACCCACTGAGGTGCTGGTCGTTTTGGCAGTGGTTTACCAGTGTCTATAAAAAGTGACTTGTAATTCTTTCTCTAAGCGCCTTATTAGCAGTCTTTTTTGAAGTCTAGATTTAATAACCTAAAGCTTTTGTCACGCATGAAACTTTAAAATTAATGCACTCTGTCTTAAAAATATAGCTTTTACAACTTGCCTTTGACATAACGTAAAGTAAAACCGCCTTCATAATCCAAATCCATAGAATCGTAAATAATTAGCACCTCGTTCTGTTCAGATATCACTTCATCACTGTCTTCAGAGCAACTATATAAATAATTGTTTTTTGTCAGATAATAATAAATAGTAACAAAAAATTTGTCTAAAGAAATTAAAAACTAAAGAACATTTTTGGCGCACTATCAAAGCAATGTGTTGTAAAATGGTAAAGGTAGTCAAATATAACCATATTCTAAAGCCCGTTTGCTGAAAATCAGAATTGTGCTTTATTTCCACAAAATTTCGGCATGTAACGTCACAACGAAGACTGACAGAATCAACCCGTAATCGAATTCGCTTATCTCCAGTCTAAAAATATTGTTAGATGTTGAAAATTTTTATATAATTTTAAGCATACTAAGTGGTTTACGCCAGATTACTAAGACATAAAATAAAAGTGAAAAAAGTTGATTTTTATTAATATTTATTTCCAGTATCCACTAGTAAAACAAGAAAAATAGATTTTTTTTTCCTTCAGAAATTATTTGTTACAATCCATCAAACCGAATCTTTTAGAAAAATTCATCGAAGATCTGAAATAAGGAAGTTGTACCCACCTTAATCCTCCAGTAACAAACTGATTTTCCACCTTTAAAGGCTAGTTCTTTCCACTCATCTGTAGCTGTCAATTCACCACCGCAAGAGCCTATAAGGGCAATAGAAATATGAAGTTTAAAAATCCTTACATATTGCAGGTTTTATTTTGTCCTCTTTTTAAGACCGTAAAATTAAATGTCATTACTTGGTTGTACTTGGTTACACAGTTGACCACCAAGACCCGTTGGACATTTACAAATGTTACAGTTGTTCGGATCAGGATACCCACCATTTCCACATGCTAACGGTGAGTTTCCACAAACGTCTAAAAGTTTTTCCTGTTATAAGCAGCATACACTGTTGCTTAGAAAAAAATTAACAAAATTTATTCTCAGAGAGTACCATAGCAGTAAAGCCGGTTAACTTGTTTTACATCTATGAATGACGGTTTAGCCCTTTGTCCAATGGTGTGGCTATATTTTGGGTCTTTTGTTTCAATAGTTATATGACTCCAGTCAGTTGTAAATGCCTAAATATAACAGCTAGTTGTGTTGAACCTCACTGATAGCCTCAGCATATATCTGTTGATAACTGTTCATTGCGCAGTCTTTTGTAGCTGTCAGTTAAAAAAACAGAAAGTTTGATTACTTATAAAAAAGCTAACCATTGGCCCATAATGCATAACGGATCCGAGATCAAACGGTACTCCCATATCGTCAGTCTCCAGCGCAGTTCTCTTAACAAAATTACCTTCTGTTCCACTGGCAATATACTTCTTTATAACACGTATGTAATCATCTCTATCAGGTCTTGACTGCTCGTGCCAAAATCCAAGGGAATGCCCAACTTCATGAGCTACAATTCCTCTCTAAAATTTACATTATACACGAAAATGTATCTGTTAGAAAGCCTGAAGCAAACAGTAACAGTGTAAACTTATAAACTTTGGGAAAACGTGGCTATCTATCAATGCGATGACTGTTTTTGCGCTTTTGAAATTTTGAACTGATGCATTTAAAGCTGCTAACCTTACTCCAATATGGAAATATTTACGAATACTAATTCACTGCTGTGACAGAAGTGGAGATGAGGAATGATTTTTTACTTCCGAAGGTTTGGAGTTCAGAAGTACAAGAGCATTACTGGATGTCATTGAAAAAATATAAGTTTCAAAAATTTAGCCGCCAAGAAGGAGATAACTTGTTATAAAAAGTTTATCTTTTCTCTATAGAAAAAAAA